TCTATTTTACATAGCCTTGTTTATTTACAGCCTAACAGCACATTAGAATGAAGTTAGTGAAAGTTAAGTAAAGGGAAGCAAATTCATAAGAATGAAAGTTGTTTCCATAGAAGTGGTGGTTTGGCCAAAATGTAGTAGATCAGCCAAGATATGTTTGATATTTAGTTTTGCATTGGAGCTACAAGGCAAAATAACAAGTAATGGAGGTATACGTACAGAAATTAGCACTGAGCAAACTGCATGCCTAAACTCATCACTTACCTTCAGTTGTGTCAAGCTGTTAAATAATCTTAAATAGACTTTATGTGGTTTCTGACATACCGTTATTCGAAAAACTGAACCAATATACAGGAAAAAAAAAATCAGCCTTCTACTACTATGTGACCATACTGTACAAAGGTTTTAGGCACCTGAGAATTTATATTTCAAATGCTATTTGTCTGGACAGTAAGAGGTATTTTCTCAGAAAAACTCTAATATTAGAATAAATGCAAGTAAAATTACTATAGTAAGTAGTGACTTTTGTGTTTGTTAATGTGTTTGCTTAACCATTTCCATCCAAAAGCTAATTAATCTAATCAATCCTTTATTAAATTAAATCAGCTGATCATTTATTGAAATTGAATTATTCCATGCAGCGTTTGGAGTGCAGCAAGAAAGCAGGAACTAAACCTGTTTTCTATTAACTGTACTTCTTCTAACCAGGATATTAATAACTTTACTGAAAACAATGCATTCTTATTTTTTTCTACTGCTTTAATGTTTGTTTACATTTATTCTGAAGTTATACAGTGGCTTTACAAGCATAAACAACAAGCATCATACTGCTCAAATGAACGAGTTTTAAACAACTTGCTTGCCTAAGACTTTTGCAGAGCACTGCATATTTTACAATATTTTACAGTATCAGAAACCAAATAAGCAAGTCTATTTGATATTACTTTACATCTTGGTTGGCATTAGGTATGTGTATGATGATTTAGCCATGCAGTTTGCACAACGCTAAAAGTGTTGCACTCAAGGTGTATGCTTTCATGACTTACATTACATGACATGCATTAACAGCTTTTGGACACCAAACATTTGGAGTAAGGGGTAGTACCGACTACATTTGGGGAAAAGTATCATCACTTTAACAGTACTGATCAGCAACTGTAAACTCTAAAGTGGACAGTGTAAGAGCTAGTGTAAGAGCACTGCCTTTCAGGGGTCTCGTCACTCAGATTCATTCAAGCCTTGGGAATACTACAGCCTCCTTTTCAACCTAAACATAGCACGAAGGCAGCCTTCAGATGAGCCTTCTCTGACCTTCTTTAATATAGAATAAACTTGTCGAGTTTTGCAGTGCGGTACCCTGACAGCTTCCAGTTTGTTCCTGTCAATGGTCTAAAATGTTCTTTGAACTCTAACAAATTGGCTAGAAAACACAGCGCAGCTGAAATGTGAAGAGGTTGTCTGAGTAATCAGCCCATTCAAACACTATCAGCTGCAGCCTCATCTGCAACAATAACTCACATGGCTGTGAGCGATCAGGGAAACAAACAAACAAACAAATAAACAGTGAGCCGATGACCCACAATAAAAAACCCTGAGCAGTGCTTCTAAGGCGGCAAGTGTAGCTGCATCTGCCCACACAGCGAGGATTAAACACAAGCCCACTGGAAAGGAGGAGGAAAGAACAGGTATCTAATTGGGTCAGTGTGGAACACATGCCCTGACGAACACAGTCCTGAAGTGGCAACAACAACAGCAGCAGCATGCAATGAGGGAACTGAGATAAGTCCAAATAGCTCTAGCTCTGCAAGGCTTTTATCCCTCCACTCCTCAGCCCAGGCCTGGGGAGCAGTGGAGAAATCAGCACAGAGAGAAGAAAAGCTTCAGCGCATCCCAAGAGCCTCCAACAACACAGGCTATAAACACCCTATTCCCACTACACATACATTTCCCAATCTCACTACACATGCACTAATGCAGTGGTTCCCAACCCTTTCTTGTCTTAAGCACCTCCACAGCTCTTAATCTCTTGGAAGTTACTGTTATTGCCAGTGACAATAAAAGCTTGGTTTCATTCCAAAACCATAGGCATTAATGTGGAATTAACCCCCCACCCTTTCTGTTACAACAGCCTCCACTTTTCTGGGCACTATGCAGGCCAGTCAACGTCTTCCACACCAATCTTGGCAAACCACTTCTTTATGGACTTTGTGCCACAAAGTTGGAAGCATACAGTACTCTAGAATATCACTGTATGCTGTAGCATTAAGATTTCCCTTTAACATATGGGCCCAATCCATGAAACACAGCCTGGACGATTATTCTTCCTCCACCAAACATTACAGTTACTATGCCTTTGGGCAGGTAGTGCTCTCCTGGCATCCACCAAACCCAGAGTCATTCATCAGACTGCCAGATGGTGAAACATGACTCCAGAGTTCTATGGTAGCATGCTTTACAAGACACCACGAGACACTTGACATTGCATATGGTGATTTTAAGCTTGTGTCCAGCTGACTGGCCATAGAAACCTATTCCACGAATCTCCCATCAAACAGATCTTGTGTGGACATCGCTTTCAGAGGCAGTTCTAAATCCCACAGTACCATTCCACTGCTAATGCTTCCCCTGAGTACACCCATTGGGAATCACTGCATTAATGCACAACCACAGAGTGGCAGACAAACACACACAAATACAGGCTGTGTAGTACCAGCTGTGAAGAAGTCTGCCTAGACAGTGCATTGCAAAGCTGCGTGGTTGTACAATAGCACCCTGACTGCTGCATTAACTACTGGGGACCAGCCCTCTTTCATTCACCGTGCTGAGTAAATAGCGCTGTTCTTCAACAATGGAAAGGCAGAGAGGAAAGCGGCTGACATGGCAGTCTGGGAGAGAGGAGAGTGTGTGCATGTGGGTTCCAGTAACATAATATCAGATACTGTCTCCTAAGCACCTTTGGGCATCTCTGGAGTCCTCTCAGTGTGGTTCTAGGCTCAAAGCCCAGATCTAGAGCACATTTGTGGCCATGGTTTTTAATTTGTCATTACTCTCTCAGCGCGGACAAATCAGTTCTCAGACAAACGGCAAGCAGAGTGATGACTTAGCTTAACCGCCTGTTGCAAGGAGCCTGGGAGCGTTTTATTTTTAAACTGACTAATCACTTTAATTAATGAACAAGGCCTTGTGCTCAGGGGCTTCTGCCCACCTCCTATGAGCAGATCCGAGGATAAGCCAGTCATTTCAATCATATGCACTTGCATTAAAATGGAACTTTGAATTAAAATGTTTTTTTGAGGAGGGAGCAAACCTGACCATCAGTAAGTGCTCAGCGGATGACGGGGGAGGTTGTTATGCTCCCTCTGATGGAGCTGGGTGATAACATAATGGGCTGTTGGAGAGAAACGAAATAGATTAGGGAGAGAGACACAGATGAGAGACAGATAGATACAGAGACAGAGAGAGAGAAGCTTATTGTACTCCCTGATTTTTACCATGATAATGTTGTCACAGTCAAGCATGAATTCTTTGGCCATGAGTTGAAATTTGTGCTCTTAGAGCACTTAATGCTTACAGTCTGAAGCAAACTGAAGATATATACTAGTTATACTGTCTTGCTAACATATATCTAACAAGTTATAGCCAGCTAGATACACTAGCTAGTTAGCAGGCATTGTTTAGACTAGTCAGCTAGTCGATAAATCTACTAGTTCGTGCTGTGAGCAGCAGATGGCTAGCGGTTGCAAAATGCAGTGAAGAGGCAAATAGAGAGAACAGAAACCAGTTTTGCTGCTAGACAAAAAACAAGATACTTTATTTGCGAGGAAATACTACATGAAAGGAAACCAATTAAGCCATCCTGAGATACAGGCTTGTGAGCACAACCTAATAGGCTTTGAGAACTGCCATTTCTGATGGGAAAGAGCCATTTAACTGACAAGCAAAACTACCAGTCACCAAACCTTTAACATGACCCGTGCAAAACCAAACTTGTGTTAAATTGAGTGGAATGAATTGAGTTGGCAAACACACAAGAATATCGGGTTTACTTGCATTCTACGGCTTCATGCAAAAATCAGGAACAACTTATTAAAATGGGACAGCGTGAATGTTTCCTGGTTTAGCAACTAGGCCTATATCTTGTTCTGAAAGGCTTATTTGCATGTAGAGATTGTTTCTCATCAGCAATAAAATGGCGCACACGAGCGCGGATAGCCAAAGCCAGGTTAAATTCTCTGTGAGAGGTTAGATTTTAAAAGCTGTGGTGATTTTAGCATGCAGTTTACATGAGACAGTCTGTGTACTTCTGTGGGTGCTTGAGACTGAAACATACTGAAATACAACAGCAAACAATAAAAAAAATGGTAATGACAACTAGTTGATTAGTAAAAATGAATGTTTGTGCAATCCCTACTAGTTAGTGAAGTATAGTTTTGAGGCTAATGTTAACAGTGTTAGCTAGTGTTAATCAGTTTTGCTAGTATTTTTTATGACCATTTTAAAAAGTCATTGCAAAACTAGGAACTGTCTGTAATTAAATGTTAAAGTTCAGCTTAGCACAGAAACTTTATTTCCCATGGTGTCAGAACTCCATCAGCTTTGCTTCTCAACTTCAACACAAAACCAGGATGGCAGTAGCGATGGTGATGGTCATTTTCTTGTATTGTAGGCCCCTTTACCTTTTTTGTATAATCTGGCAGGCAGCACGCGTGAACATAAATGATATCAGCCAGTCTGCCACCGAATTTTATTGCCATAATGATTTGGCCAAGATTTTACTGGCATCATCTTGCACAGTGTGATATGCAATAAACTTATAAGGCTGGTGTTATCGCACAGTTTGCAGCCGGCTTAAGAGAGAAAGTGTGATGAAGGGAGGAGAGAGAGTGAGAGAGAGAAGCCTGTTGTGTCACTGAGGTAGGAGATAGAGCAGATGTCCTTGCTGCTTCCACATGACACCCACCCGCACCCTCCTCTTTCTCCTCTGTGCTGTCTGCCCTGCTTACCAGGCCTGTGGCTTCCTCTTCAGCAGGCCCTGTCGTTTCCACTGTGAGTGTGGGCTCAGGTGGTAGGTTAGCTGCCGGCACACCTTCTCCATGGCCCCCAGTGAGTCCCCTTCCTGACCCAGACAGAAAAGATAAAGGGGGGAGGGATGGTGGACAGGGAGAGGTGTCAGTTACGCAACAGACCCAAGAGGTTAAAGGGTTATACCAACATAGCTAGCATGTAATATAATCTGTCATATGATATTACTCTCAGAAAAAAGGTACTAAACTGTTACTGGAGTGGTACCATCAAGGGTACATCTTCAGTACCTTTAGTTACGGAACTTAATTATAACATATTCCATCACTTTTATATGTTGAATGTTGTATTGGCTCCACATACCCTATGTTGCTTTTTCAGTTTATTTTTCTGTTCGAAAACATTGTCGGACAGTACCTTTTTTCTGACAGTATATCAAAACCAATTTATAAACTTAATTATGCCACATATTTCCCTTCAAAATTCCCAATTTTTCACATCATCATAAAGAACATTTCCCAGTTTTCAAAGAAGGAAATTTCTCTCTAGAGATTACTTTGTAACTTCTGTAAGAGATGAAAAGTCATGTTCACAACAGATATATCAATGCTAAAAATTGTGATTTCGGCTGGAGTGTCCCTTTAATGTTGTCTGGCTTAAGACTACAGTGGAAGGGAGAAGAAATTTTGCTGATTTTGCTGACGACTGTAGTGACAGGAGAGCAGAGCAATACAGACTGACAGACTTGCTATTTCTGACTCATTTTGGCACAGCCATTAGAGTAGCTCAGACAAGCAATGGTGGCTGTGTGTGCGCTAAAGTTACGATGCAGGTGTACATAATGTATTTTACAGACTGGAGCTGCATGACGATGAGTTTCTCTGCTGTGATTTATAATTCTTTCCCTCATTCAACCTTACATTTATTAACTGAGGAGACATGATGAAAATAGGTACGTTCATAAAGTTGCCTGAATTCAGAAGAATTTCTTATTGGAATTACACATGGGAGAACATTAAATCTTATTGGTTTTGACCCCCACTATTGTGTGATAGATTAATGTGTGCCTGAAAATACAAAAATCATAACATTTAGCGCCACTCAGTTTTATTCATTACTGTGTAACAGAGCCGTTTTGGCAAAAAACATAATTAACATAGTGGTCATTTTCAGGGCAGCTATGTCATTCACATTTAGTGGCCTGGGCTTGAATTTGAAATGGGAGCTCTGAGGTTGGATTCCATGTCAGTAGTGCTCTGGATCCACACAATACTGGATATTACTTAGAAAGGGTTACACATCTATCAACACTGTCATGACTTGCACTTAATAACAATATGAATCACCTTCTGTTTTATGAATCCTAAAATCAGTGGTTAAAAATGTAACTCCAATACAGCACTTTGCAAATGTCAGAGATCAACCCTCATTTCTTTCATTTCTAGAGAAAAACGGCCAGTAAGTACAAGTTAATCATTTTTCAGCACCAGAAAAAAGAAAATTCCACATAAGCCTCAACAACTAAATACATTATTAAAATTTAAATATGAAGTATTTAGTGTGTCCACTCTTTGGCTTTATTACAGCTTCTTTTTCTCAGTAACAGCTTCTTAACAGCTACACATCCTTTCAGACCCATAGTGTTGAGTTGTCTTCTCACAAAAGAAGGATGGACAGAAACCCCTGTGGATTTTTTCAGATCTGAAGCAAAAGTGTAGCTTTCAAAGATCTCATAAATATCTCAAAGATATAAGCTTTAAGTACTGTTTATCTGATGATGGCAGTTTTGATGGTCTACCAGGTCTTTTACGGTTGCTAGCAGTCCCATTTTATATGGGACTGCTCTATACCATTCAATGATTTTTTAAACCCAAGTTTTGGGAACTCCTGTTTTTCACTTATTTTCCTTTGACTTTCCTCTTCCTTAAGCAAGTGGATTGTCTTATATCTAATGTCCTCAAAAATATCTCCTGACACAGCAGTAGCTTGTATTTAATGACTGTTTTGACTAGAGGGTGGTCTCTGACTTTTACATAGTACTATAAATTTCTCCTGTAATAAAACTGTGTGCGTGTGAGAAGAGACCATTCACCAGTCACTCTTAAATCAGTTACTACCACAGACTGATCTGTCTCAACTCATTCGGTGCTCAGTCTTTTCACCTCTACAGCTGCTTGGTGATTCTACAAAGCCTTACATCACATTCTTTGTGGTGACACAAAGAAAGGCCATTAATATTATGTTGAACATTGTTTTTAAGAGCATATTTTATGCCTGTATCTGTTAAATGAAATAAATCCATCTAAAGTAAGCACAGTAAGTTCAGGAACACCGTTCCATGACATTCAAGCTAACCTTTTTGGTTGACTTTCAGCTTTTCAGCTGAAATACAACATGTACTGTACCTTCCTGTAGCAAACTTTCACACAGAGCAGACCGTCTGGATTGAAAACCCTGTGTGTCGATAAAAGGGATCAGTTTCTAAATCAATACTGCCCGTGCGGGTTTCTATTTTTCTATGGACTGACCTCTACAAAGGTTAAAACTGAATCTAGAGCAGTGGGTAGCACTAGGGCACAGGCATTAGAGTGGCAGTGTTTGCCACTAGCAGCGAGGGTGACTGTAACACATGGCTGGTCAGCGTCCCCTGCAGACAGACAGCGGGTCCCCTGGCAATGTTATTGTACACACAGGACGCTGTCACGGCTCCAGCAGTACAGCAGACAGGCCTGAGCGTCAGCACTAGGGCTCTACTCCAGCCAGAACACTGCACACACTCTGTTTCTGCCTCGCACAATGTCTGCCACCACTTCTGTCATGCTGATGTCTTTTTTTATGTCAATCATAATATTTCCAAACAAAATCTACAAGCTATAAAGAATGAAGGATATTACGACGTAAATACTGATATATATATATATAGCGCTGTGTAACAGAGAGGAACTGCACCACATTTGTTCTTCTTTTGGCTCCGTGCTCCAGCGCACTGGATTTGAAAAGAATCAATGACTATGAAGTTAAAGAACAAAATGCCAGCTTTAATTTTAGTCTTTTTATACTAGATTGATTCAATATATGAACCACAGTCATTTTTACACAAGGTCAGCCATTTCAGGGGAGTAAAACAAATTCATCTTTTTAAAAAAAATGTACAATTTTTAGTTACAAATCCTTTGCAGTGAATGAAGGCCTGAGGTCTACGGACCCATATCCATCATTATATGCTGGGTATCATCCCAAGTGATACACTGCCAGGCCTGTAATCTCGTCATTTCCAGTTCAGTGCTTGTTTTGGGGGCTTCTAGCCTTCAGTCTTATCTTCAGTAAATAAAAACATGCTCAGTGTGGTTTTGTACACTTCAGAATTCATCCTGTTTATGCCATCAGCAGTCACATCATCAATAAAGACATCTTCTTATTCTGGTACCGGTGAGACCTACTAGTGCTTTGCATCATGTCAGACTCCCACATTGCAAAGGATCTTCTCTGTAATATTGCACGGCTTCATCCTGTGCTAAAAAGAGACGCAGAATCTCGAGCCCATGCTTTCATATCGTCTCATCTCAGCTACTCTAACTCTCTTTTCACTGGCATTCCCTACAAAACTACACGCTCTCTTAAATACATTCAAAATTTGTTGACTCATTTTAAAGAAATTTGCTCACATCACCCCAACTTTTTATGTAGTTATGTTATAACTGAAGTTTGAGGGGAGGAACATGTCTGAAACTCCTCCTTCTTCCAATCTAACACCCTATAAATTCACATCATTCACCTTCTGTTTTGCGTGAAGAAGAGTTCGCAATCCCCACCGCCACCCCATCTCCCTGCTCCTCAGTCCTACATCAGTCCTACCACAGCTGTAAGGGGGGGGTCTGGCGTTCTAGCTACAGACAGAAGCTGCCCAGAACTCCTCTCAGAAGTTCTCAGAGTTCTCCCCTCTCCCTCAATCAGACTTCCCTCATACTACCACCATGCTGAAGGCACGGTCCAAAGTCACAAAATCAGTTATGTTGTACATTCAGTTGAAACTCCTCCTTCTACCATATAAAGCTCTACCTGGTTCTGCCTGCCTCTATTTAGTAGAGCTTCTTTGCTCCTATTCTCTCTCCATGCTCTCAGGTTTTCTAGCTTCTGGCAGTTCTTAAATTTAGACAGGTCACCACTTCGCGCAGAAATATTTAGCTTCATGATCCCTTCCAGTCTTCACTCTCCTCCTTCAATGCCCAAACTTAAATTCTACCGATTTTTTAACTTTTCTGCATCTCTGATTTAATCATTGAGACTGAAAGTCATTTAGAGTGTTCTGCCGTGAAAATGGTTAATCCTAGAAAAACACACCAACCAAAATAGTGGTAAAATTTTTAGATGCATTAAACTCTATTAAAAAATTAAAAAATTAAGATGTCTGGTTCCTTTCACCACCAATGTGAACAATACTGCCTCTGTAAGCTTTTCTAGAACAGAACACTATATCAAACCACTCAATGATTTTATTTACATCTGACCAATTTAATTAAGCAGATCTTTAAAAAAAAAAATAATGGCATTCTCCTTTAAAACCTCCCTCTTTCATTTTTTTTTCTCACTCCTGTTGATATAGCTTTTTAAAATATATGATATATAGAGTTTAACAATATATTAAATAATATATGGTATGATTTGTTTGTTTTTTAATGCCTTTTTTGTGTTGATTAAATAATACCAATTGTTTTTGCTGTTGCTTTTGCTGAAGCTTTGGCTTTAAAAAGGCACTATATAAATGAAACTAATTATTATTATTATTATTATTGTTGTTGTTGTTGTTGTTGTTAACTAGCAGCCAACTGTTCAGTTACATAGGATCCCCCAAAAAAGGAGCATTATGTATAAAAAAGGGATGAAATTATTACATGATTTTCCCAATCCTGATGTGCACAGCTTCAAATTAAAGCAGACATTCTGCATTTTCAAATCTGATTTATGTTGTCCCCCTGTTCCTCCCCCTGATCTTCAGTGGTCTTAAGTCGACTGTTGCCATGGATAATGTGAGGTAGAAAGACAATCCACTGATTGCATGATAGCAATGGTATTGCTATGGTACCTTGCGGTGCTGAGGGCTGCTGTTTTTCGTAGTCAGGTGTTAAAGCAGCTTGCGCTAGAAGCTGAGTTGGGTGTTTTTGCTGTGTGCTATTGTGCTTAATTTGCTCCATTAAGTGCAGCAGCAGCAGGAGTCTCCTTGTGGGGGCTGACCTGTCTCAAAATGTGACTCATTCGTGAGCGCAGCACTGGCGCTGGCTTTAGCTGTCGCTCACTCTGTCTGCCTCTTAATCCTCCCTTTCTCTCCTACACCCACCTGTCAATATCTCTGGTACTGAATGCTTTTCTCTTTATTGTTGCTAGTAACTCATGAATGGCTGCTGGCCTCTGAAATCTGTTATGATAATAAAAAGGCACTGTCTCTTCTATTGTCCTAGTATTCAATATCTACTTGAGCTAAGTGCCATTCATTTCCTGTCTCTCTTGTAGCCTGCACTGACACAAACATGCACACACAAAACAATTTATCCTACGGACCACAGACATGATATGAAAAAGGCAAAGACCCTGTGTGCTTGTGTGGGACTGTGTGAGAGCATGCACTGAGATATGATCACATTTGTGAGTAAAGGAACTAATCACTCTACCGTCTTGGGGCAGTGAACGTATCTGGCCAAACTGATAATCAGGTCATGTGTAATGGGGTCCACCAGGTTCCGGAAGCTGGCGTAGCGATAGAGAACATCATCCAGAGATGTGGACTCCATTCCCAGATCCTAGAGGGAGAAAAAGACAACATGGAGGAGCAGTTAACCAGTACAGCAGCAGCAGACCACGCCCATGACCAGCAACCGCCATGCATTCCACCCAGTCATTAAACCTGGTAAAGATATGGATTTTTTGTTTTCTCTGAATTATTAAAGATACAGAGATGGGCAGTTTTATGATTTGCTGTGGCATGAAACCCAATTGGAACTGTATCATTTTTATTTATTTTTGCACAATACTTTGAATTCATTTTAATGATTCCAATAACTCTGTATGATTACCACACTAGAAATGTCAGGAATTAACCTACTTCTACAGTCTTCCTGCAAAGCACATACCAGAACAACACGTTTACACATCTATAATCTAAAGAGTAAACAGTGTAGAGGTTTGCAATATGACAATATTTTATAATTATCATGAGACAGTTTTTTACAAAAAACAATACGCTTTTTTTTCTTTTTTTTTTTTACATCTTGTGGATATTGTTTGTACTTAAAGAACAATGAACAACTACATATTTTTCTTAAAAAAGAAAGCATAATTAGTCCTGCTTAATTGGATTTAGTGCAGTGCAGTATGTGAAACGTTCAAGAAAAATCATGGCGAGTTTTTGAGTTTTGAGCCACAGTTTTTAAATGTAGCACTACTAGCGCATTCTGTCTGTATTGCGCATCATGAAAATAATGATATGATATTTTTTGCCATATCGCCCACTCCTAAAACAGTAGTAACACTGGTGATGATTTTCATATGTGTAATCTATTGATTTTTTAATTCTAAAGAAATACAAGGGATGAAAGGTCTTATCAGCATAGTACGTGTATTGCTTACTGCTGGAAAAGTAGAATGTTTAAGTGACGCTGGGCTACCGTGTTCATGCATTTGTAACCCTATACAAATAAACATTATATTTTCTGTAATGCAAATCAAAGTAGTAGCTCCAATCTCTAAATTATATAAATGTTGATGTTTTAGCATTAACAGATATGTAAATGAGAAGTTACCATAACAGTGCATCCATATAATACCTTGTGTGAAATGATTTCACTGTGTATTAGTGCTTTTAAGTATATTTTAACAATACCATGATAATATTAAAAACCATCATAATTGTCATCAGCAGCATCTAGAGGTGTCCAATATGATCATACTTTATCGTGGATATCGCCCATACTTAAAGAATACTGGCCAGCTGCATGTTTCATTGCAAACAGAGCATAATTAGTCCTGTTCCTGTGCTGGATTCAGTGCCATGCAGGGTGCAAACTGTTAAATAAAATGATCATACCCAGAGTTTTTGATAGCAATTTTTAAGTGTGGCCTTACTAGTGCATTGTGTCTGTATGTCAAAATACTGTGATGTGTTATCATGAAAAGAAATCTACAATATTGTCCCGTCGGTAAACCTACTGAGAACAGTGGAGATTACCTGCATTCTAAATCATGTGATTTCGATCTGCACTGCATTAAATCTGTATATGTTGTGCTCATCAAGAGAAGAGAGAGAAATCCATATGTTCATTAACAGTAAACTATAACATCCACAAGAAGCAGTCTCTTGTGTAAAAAAAATGGAGGAAGCCTTAAGACTAATGTCCAAAGGTATTAGAAGATTTTCTGTTATGTAACAGAAAGAGAACAAAGCGTCTGCTGTGCATTATACAGTGTAAATGTCCTTCTGAGTGTGAAAATGAGGCACTGATGCATTAGCCAAACCGAATGTCCATTTCTCACCTGTGTTAGGCAGAAGAATGTGTCTAACATTTTTGTGTTGCGTCGTGAACACTGACCATAACTGAGTCACTCTGCTAATGGACGTTAGCGTTTCTTTCTCGCTGCATAGTCGTGACACATTTTGTGTGTATTACAGCACAACTATAGAGAAGCCCCAATTATACGGCTCTGCAAATAGACAAAACTAAATGAGAATTTAATCTACCATCCTAAGGCCTTTATATCTACAAAGCAACAGGGCAGGTAGAGGGACAAGCAATTAAAGATGGTCCAAATGTCACTCAGTGCTCTGAGTTGGGTGTTTTTTTTTTGGCATGGAGCTAAATTGCGTCACCAAGATGAAAGAAGAGCGGCTAGGAATGAAACAGAAAATTAAAAAAAGGAAGGGAAGAAAGTAAGCGCTGCGTCTAGAGAAAATGGCATGCATTTTTGATGACGTGTGACATGAAATATAAATGCATAAGGCACATAAAGACTTAGAAGACCTATTCTGAGAACTGAGAGGTGAGCGATCAAGAGCGGACGACTGCAAAGGGTTTCCCTCGTTATTGGATTCTTCCTACAATAATCTCTTCCCTCGCTGAAACAGCGGTCAGCCGTGCACAATTATGTAAACCACATTATGTAAACCTCTTGCTACAGTGGCCCCTCCACAAGGCTGCGTCTTAATTAATCAACCTCCGTTCTAAGGTCCGTTTTCATGGTTTCTGAGCGAAAAGATACATAAAGTAACCAGAGGTGTCTCAAAGTCTGACTGTTTTGCTTTCTTTTCCTTTCTCATTAAGTGCGCTGTACCCTGGAAGCACCCTGGAAGACTAACATGCTGCACTTCCATCCTGCTTAATTTCAAAGGGTATCTGAAAATGGCACATAGCCTACATGCCTGAAGCTTTCAATGCTGTTCAGCCAGAATTAGTCAGTTTATTCTGTCAAGATATATGTGGAACTTAAAAAGGCTTTTGGGCTCAGGCTTTGATCCCACTTCCACACAATAAGGAAATCGCTGGATGGTCAGAAGATCATGGCTGACCCTGTTCTACAGGGCGATCTAATCACTTGTCTTGTTTAAAGGCACATATAAATCGCATACATATACTTACTAACGGCAGCAGCAAATAGCCCACTCTAGGGCTTCACGATTAAGGCAAAACATCTAATTGCGATTTTTCTGACTCATATTGTAACTGTGATTATTTTCTATAAATTAAAGTCCAGTAGTCACTTGCAAAAAGCATCTTACCTTAAGGAAAAATCATGATTCTACATTCAAATTTAGACTCTACACTGTTAGAAATAAAGGTACTGTGCAAGTACATTTTTTGTTCATCAAGGTACAAACTATGTAAATGTACCCTCAAAGGTACAACACTGGTTTAAAAGTCCAATTGTGTAAATATGTTTTTCCCAGGTGAAAAGTACATATTTTCATAACCTAATGTTTTAAAACAGATCAATAAAATAAAAACGCTGGAGACGAGACGGGGTGTGTGGAGTCAATACAATATAATTTTAATGGTTTATGATACAATTATGTTCCTTGACTAAAGGTACTGAGATGTACCCCTGAGGGTACCATTCCAGTGACAAGAGGGGTACTGCCCCAGTTACATACCTCTATTTCTGAAAGTGTAAGTTTAAGTTTTAACACGTATGTTTTTTTGTAAAGTTCAATGTAAATTTATAGCTTTAAAATGTTCCCTTAATGATTTAACTTTCGATAAATACTTGAGATGTTATACACAAGTGGTGTGGTTGTAATGTCATGCGCGTTGGCTCTAAATCATCTACAGGTGGTGCAGAAACTTGTTAAGACAACATGTTAATTTAGGCTTTAATAAAAACTGCAGCACTTGCAGTTTGAAAATTGCACTTTTTAAAATTATGATTTTGATATAAAAATGATTAATCTTTCAGCTCTCGCCTACACATCAGTACTTCTTATCATATGGTAACATGGCTAGTTGAATATGTGGTTAACCAATCCAGAGGGGAGTATTCAAATAGTGACATCACTACATGATAGAAATGACATCGGCATAAAATGCTGGATCAGATGTTGGGAAAGAAAGAACGAATCTGATCCAATCCTGGAAAAAATCTACCCTGAAACATCAGACATTCACATTGTATGATGTGATGTTGTTGGCTGTTTCTTTCCTTCTGTGCAGTAGTAGAGCATTTGAGCAGTTGAGCATGATAGCCTTTTTAAAAATGCTCAGCTTAAATAATTCAACTGAAAATAGCTTTAAAGGATAGTAGTTTTTAAAGAAAAGATATCAGATCAGTATCAGTATCAGCTGATTCAAAAGTGGTATTGCGCCATCTCTAATATTCAAGCAGCATCACAGAAAGTCAGCGGGAAATATGGTGTTAAAAAATGTCTTATGTTATGTGGTAAGTGTTTATGCTCAGTAAAGCTTTTGCTGTACATTTAATATCTATATTATTTCTGTCAGAAACAACATGTACCCTGGAAGAAGGTTTAATTCAGTGGGATAGTGACTTTTTGTCATATGCTGAAATAGGCCAAAGTCTTATTTCCTCCCTCTAGTTAACCAAACATCCATTCATAAACTCTTACACATACTAAATACCACAATTAGTCAGAATTCACATCCCTAGCAATTACCACATGACAGACAACCAAATTTGTGTAACAGTAAACCTGGACCATCCCTCTAAGCATTCCAACACTGCCAAAGTCAGTCCATCATGTATAGTCAGTGACATGTATGGACAGCAGCATAGTGTTCTCTCCAATCTGGCTCTCCCTTCAGGCATTCACTCCCCGCCTGATCCTTCCATCTCAGACTGTGAGGTCCAGAGTAGCCAAGTGGCTTCACAGCACAGTAATAAATCTCACAGGCTTTCTAATTGCATCAGCAGCCCAGGACAGACCAGCCGCTGGGCATCTGTCTCAGCAGCACCGATAGAAGTAAAATATGCATCCTCACATGACAACAGACATGGAGGGATGACACATCAGTATGGTACACATGTGGACTCATAGCAGAAGACCATATCCTGTGCAGTCTGCATGCTAGTTTCAGTTGTGATGTGGCCTATCTGTGACAAGTGAAGTGCAGCTGCCATGTAACTTCTGCGCTGTCCCATACAGATGACATCCACTCACTCTGGCCTTGCTGAAAACAGCAATGGCATGCAATATGATTGGCACCACAGCTCAGTCTGTATTACGCAATTTCTCTCTGCATAATGCCATTCTGTTTTTGACACCAAAGTGGGAACTGATTTAAAACTCTGGGAAGACGTTGGAGAACTTGCCTCACTCTGACCATTACCCAAATCTGGTCACCCAGGCTTCAAGTGATCTCTTCCACCGAGAACATGCAGACATAAATGTGACAGAGATGGGGAGATCCCTTCATTTTACCAAACAGATTCTTTTTGAACAATACATTATCAATAAATTAAACTTCTGCTTCAAGGACTTATTGATTCACAAGTCAAGAACAATGAGATTCAATTCAGCGAGTCAGTCTGATGCTCCTACTTCTACTCACTAATGGAGAGTCTAATGGACAAAGCACAAAAACATAGAAGGTAGCCCCAGCTAAAGTCTACAGACAGAAAATGTAAGTGAATTCTTAATATGCTAGCATTTTGATTTTTGTAAAGTTAAATTGTGAAGGATTGGTGTTAGAATTATATTAGAATTTCTGAAGCCTATAACACAAATATAAACATAGCGTAGATGCTACAAAGAAAGTTGTGAACTGATTCGACCGGTTCAAAGGAAGCCATTGAGAGTCTACAGAGAGAAAAGGTAAATGAGATTAAATGGTCTTTTTTCAATGCTTATTATACAAATTCTACATGTACATATTTATTCCTTCATTGTAGATGCTACTCAAAGTTCGATTCAGTTTGACTTATGAACCGGTTCAAAAGAACGATTCATTCACGAGCCGCTAAAGCACGAATGATGTGAACGACTTGTCTGAAGGTTATAAGTGCAATAAGGTGTTATACAGCTTTAAAAAAGCTATGATCTAGAGTCCCTACAAGGTCCAGACAAACTTTATCAGAATTGCCGTGTAGACGCTACTCAAATGTTCGATTCAGTTCAGTTGGACCTGTGAATCGGTTCAACCGATTTAATGACAAGAACCGATTCGAAACACGAGCCGGACTTCGCCGAATACGTGAACCACTCGGCTCACCAAGTGACAAGTGCAATAAGGTGCAAAAAAGCTGAATGAACTACAAACTGGCTTCGTCATGAGCTTGATAGTATAATACACTACTGAAGTTTACCACTCCTGTAGACCAGGCGTGCTCCCTGCTGTGCGTACCTGTCGTAGGGTCTTCAGCATCTCCGTGGCCTCATCATGTTTGCCCTGCTTGGCCAACAGCAACATGTCCTGGATCATGCCTATTCTGCGCTGGTATGGGGGTGGAGGGGTCCCGGTTCGGCCCAGCCTCTCTCCCGGCTTCAGGCTGAACGAGGCCAGCAGCTCGGGTCTCTCTCTGGTAGGGGTCTTCTTCCAGGGCGCCGAGAGCGGACTGCCCCCGGCCTCCTGCCCCGGGCTCTTCGCCTGCTTGCCTCCCATGACTGGAATCACCCAAAGTCACAGCACTGAAACCAGCTCCACAGATTTACCTCAGGCCAAAAGTGAGTGTTTCACAACAGCGCGCTAACGAGGAGCCTTAACAACTGACCTGATACCACGACTGAGGTGAAGTTCATTCTTATGAACATACTCAGATGTTCTGCCTACCCTCACAGCAGGAGAAACAGTCCTAACAGATATACAAGCCGAATGAGAGGAGAGGAAAAACTCAGAGGAGACAATAGCGACTGTAGTTTGGCGCGAACTCGAAGGCTGCTTGTTCATCCGTTTAAATGATAAACTTTGGCGGTCACACCAGCTTCCAAGGACATTTAAAACCCCGACAGGTGCAGCAAGGTCCTCTGAAACGTTCCTGTCTTCGAAAAAAAAATGCCATGAATAAGCATCCCACTCAGTCAGGTCAAAACCAAAACGACAAGGACGGAATAACCCGCTATAAATAGTGGTGAAGTGTTAGCCTACTTCTGAGCCCCCTCAAGTAGGGAAGAGCTCAGATGCTAAAGCCCGCAGCATGGCCGAGGCGCTGAGGGGGAGATCAGCCCAAAGCTCAAACTACCCTTATGCACTTCTTCCCACTGCAGAACATCGCCCTGTTACAGAGGAGGGACACCGAAAGCTCCTCCATGGGCTAAAAAGCACTAGTATTTCACATGTCCGCTCGCAGACACACCGGACTGTGCTCCTTCATAACGGAAAGTAAAGCTCGCTAACGGGGAGCCCGTCTCCTCCTGGCCCATCCTCGCATCTCCCCAGCAAGTCTAATGTCAGTGACGACCAGTAAACAGCTGATCCCCGATTCGGCTCCGTGTCTTCTGTTTGCTGTCTTTGTTATTGTCTCTGAGAAGCGACCTCGCTCAGGTGTGTCCCGGGTGAAGCTGGAGTGTTTTCGGGTTGGGCTGCATCCTTTTCAGAGACTAATGCAGGCTAGTGTGTGAGAGTGTTTGTGTGTGTGTGTGTGTGTGTCATCGTGGTGCACTGACTCTCTCTCTTTCTCTCTCTCTCTGGGCTGGGAGGGGTTGAGCCGTGAACAACATCTCCCAGTTCTTCAGTTTCGGTCTGATAACACGCCGCTGTTCACTCACTGAGCGCTGAGCTGAACCGTTAGCTAACGGAGCTGTTCGACCGTTATGCTAAATAATGCCTCACGCGCCTCTCAGCCAATCAGAACCGTCTCTGAGCGCCGCGTCCTCCGTCACGCGAATGAAAAACTCAACTGAACTCCTCAGAACAAACCTGCGGTGAGAACGGTGGCAGTACATCAGTCTGAATTACGAACTTAAAAGATTAACGTTAAACTAACATTAATATTTAATAAATATTAAACTCAAATACTCAGTCGTGAACATCTGGAGGGTGGCGCTGTTTTTTTCATTCCTGAATCTAAAAAAGTTTTGGATTAACCTGTGTAGAAGACCACTCTCACAGCTAAATGTCTGAAATATTAACAGGCTCTAAGGTAAGATAACCTTTATCCAGGTTTCTATACTTGATATCATCCATCTTAATATGATATTTAATGATAAATAACATTACAGAACAATGTTAAGATCAGTTAGCTAGCTATGTTAGCTTTACTTAGCTATTCGCAGTTAGCTTGATTGATTAAACAGGTCTGTTCAGTGTTTAATCAATCGATTGCATTTGTATTTAAAAGCAGGGACATTAAAGAGGAGACAGTTCACTCATTGACAGATGAATGGAAAAGATTCAAGTTTTTAGGTCTCTCCTCATTCAAAGAGTTAGGAGCCTGGTCCTGTCTGACTGGACGTAACTGCCCGGCGGCGGTGCAGAGATGTCTGTCGAGTGGACAGACTTCCCTATAAGGCTTAGCTCCAGTATTGTCTTTAACGTTAGCTCTATTGTTAGTTCATCTGAATGGGCAGCTTCTGTCACTTCTGTCTCTCCCTCCTTATTAGACATGAAAACCTCAAAGGACAGACATAGCAACAGTAACTAAGGAAGGTCGTAGCCTAGTTAAAGGGGATGCTTCACAAAGCAGGATTTCTCAGTTAGCCAGATTACTTAAGCCCAAAGTAGAGTCCTATTGAACAGGCTCGACTTTAAGTCATCTGGGTAAACTGAGAACTCCTGCTTTGTCTCAGTCCTGCTCCTGGTGACCCACAGCACTGCAGTTTCTTTATTCCCTACTCCAATCCACCTGATCCAGCACATGAACAACTCAATAATCAGTTGAAGAGCTGGATCTGGTGTGTTGAATCAAGGAATATTTGAAACCATACAGTACTGTGGGTCACCTGGAGCAGAATTAAGAAACACTGGACTAAATGACTGTTTGCAGCGTGTAGATAAAGCTAACCAAATTAATTCAGTCACAAAGCCGTGAAAGTGTACGTAGATGGGCTGTATTGCAGAGGGTGGGCCAATGGACTGCAGCACACAGACCCTTGTCCAGTTGTTTCTCATCACTGCTGCCAGCCTCTCTAGCTTTACATACATGAGAACTGTTATATTACACTATACTGACACCTAGTGCTAAATGTTCAGAAGTTAGAGTTTTTAAGCACAGGTGGATCGAAGATGTGTTATGATGTTTTGGACGTTCTAACATGAGCATTGCACAAATTATTATAATCTGTAACATATAAGCACAATCATAATAAAAACACAATACAGAAGCCCTGGGCAGGCACTGAGGCAGGTGTGTTTTGAGCCATATACAAGGAAATTATAGTCTGTAGTAACTGACTGTATTCTACAGATGTAGCAGACAGGGATCGGGTTGAAAAATGCTAGAGTACTCCATAAATAAATAAATAGGATGGGAGAATATGAGACTTGAAAACAAGACCCGAGTCTCATCGGGTATGCACCATATATCTAGCGCTTGAAAGAGAAGCAACGAGAGACAGAACAAGCATCACATAATTCAGGACTAAAAGCTCCAGGTGGTGCCATAGTTCAAGGACTTGGAGGAACATACTTGGTAAACCAGTGCTTCTCAGTCAACCAGCAAAACTTCCTTAAAGAAAATACACTCTACATATTTAAGTCTTCACATATTGTTAACTAATGCACTGATAACAGTGGTGCTGTATATCCTAATACAACTCTGTACCGGTGCTTGAGAAGTGTAAAGTTTTTAAAAAGGGAAGGAAAGAACTGTTACCTTGTAATACAATATACCATCTGATAAGCAGGAGCTTTACTGCAGTCTGAAACTTTTTGTTCTCTCTGTAATATAAATGTAATCGCACATTATAAAGTTACAAACTAAATGAGCTTAACAGAAACAATTTCAAAATGCACATTTATTTATGCTTCTTACATTCTTATTTACAGTACATTATTAGCCATGTCATCATTTATTATCAACATACTCAACATTTCCAGATGATGTTCTCATTCTCATCACAAACAAACTGGACTGTATCTGGCCAAATACACTCCTGTAGGAAGTGCAACGCAATCAGAATTAGAACAGGCATCTCAACAGACACGGCTGTTCTTCACCCCAGCAGTATCTCCAGTAGCCAATATTCATCTGTCACCTTGCAACTCTTTCTTTCCTCATACCAATAGCTACTGTCAAACTTTTAATTTCTGCTTAAGCGTTCCACCCTCTAAATGGAAAAAAAAAATATGCACAAATGCATCAAAATAACAGTTAGCTTTAGGAAAATCCCAAAAGACTTAATTTGCCCAAAAAGACTGAATCAGATAATTCAAATAAGAAAAACAAAATCACATTCAATTCACATTATGCAGTATGACCACTTCTCACTATCTACATACTCTGAAAATGATTCCACACACTGTTTCGCAAGCTACCTGAGAGCTACATTCCCTTTCACTCTGTTCCTTTGCGTGCTGAAAAAACAGTTACAAATATGGCCGTAATGAGGGTTATAATACTGCAGGATGTGTCCACTTCACATCAGATCACACCTCAAATTCCTGAAAGGGAAACACTAAGGCATAGTGCATAGAACAGCAAAGTGGAGCATGGGAAGCTTTAATACACTGGTCCTAAGGGTGTGGGTTTGTTATAAGGTGTAGCCAGCAGGGGGCGCTTTATCATCCTTATTGCTCTCCAGAGAGAAGGGTGGAATGCGCACATCAAAGTGGGATCCATCTGTCCTCTCGATGCGGAATGTCCCCCTGCACAAAGATTACAAGCGAAAACAGTGCATTTCATTTGCAGCAGATCAAATAAGCAATAAATTGTATACTTAAACACCTGCAGTGTTATGATTTTTTGGTCAAAGCCATTTGTATTATACCACAACAAACTGTCAAAGGACATTCTTAGTGACTTTGAGGGGGAACTTATAAAGGAAGTTGGTTATTTAACTCACCACATGTGTCCACTTGGCGCCTGCAAAGACACATGGCTGCTGTACTGAAATGCTGGCTGTTCTTTTGACAACACTGGTTCCTGGTTGAACAACAAACATCTGTTTAAATACTCATTTAACATGCCCTGATGCCTTACTTAGATCAAGTGAAGTTTATTAGATGATCAGAGAGATCAAGTGAACACAAGTGTTGACATCTGCAGCAGAACTCGTCTAGAAATCACTGTGATCTGATGCAATTCTCTTTTCAAACACACCAAAAAAAGTAGACAGAGCTGTACATAAGCAATACCAACACTTCATATTTCAAACTGTGATTTATTTAACAAAATACTCCATATGTTACACATGATTGCTTATGTAACTGCATTACTCTGCTAGCTTACTAGTTAGCACCTAAAGGCTACACAGCTAGCAAAAACAAAAAGAAATGCAGTACACTATGGCTTTCCACCAAAGCTTATAGCCAGACAAAGCAATTAATTACGCAATTTATGTATGTTATGTTGAGACTTCTCAAACAACATGCATCACAAAGTTTGCATGGCTAGCTAATTAGCTCACTGAGGCTAACTTAACCAATGGTGTCTGAGTTCCAATTTTAAATCTGATCTTCACTTTTCCCTCCTCCCTTTGTACTGTGAGTGCAAAACAGAGGCATCACCCCTTTTATGGATGAGTCTAAGTTGAAGGGAGGGCATATATTGAAACAGGGCCTCAATTTTGATTCATTTTTAAAGCCTAAAATCCACATTTCAGTTTGGACTGTATTTGCACAAATCTCTCAAGGAAAACAGTAAATTCTAGTTTATCAGAAGTGTAGCTGCTCACCCGGCCAACGACTCCTCTGCCACGGACTGTTTCCAGAGTGCCTGACAGGCTGAAGATTCTCCAGTGTCTTTCTCGCAACTGAACCACCTCGTTGCCCAAGTTCTCCAGACGGATACAGTATCGCCACTGAGGCAAAGATTCAGAATTTATAATAAATGTAACTGTCAATGCGTGACAAATTCTGTGTCTAAAGCACATCTACTCTCTACTGCATCTGCTTACCCAGTACACATGGGAATTCTGTGCCTCCTTTGGGGAAACAAATGAAGAGCAAAGTTTAATCAGAAACACAAACAGTGCTGAACAAGTACCTAAAAAAAGACTCGTCTTCAGTCTGAATGCCTTTCGCTTACCCTCATGCCCATGTAGAAAGGGATGACAGTGACGCGGATATTCTCCGTCGTCTCCCTGTGTACATCTGACAGCTCCAGCCAAGGATGGTTCTTCTCCTGCCAGGCTCGGAGTGTGTCTCTTGGGGTAAAAGGGGGTGCTGTGTAAGCAACACAAATACCATTCCATCAGAGACTGATGGTAGAAGGTAGCTGATATATGAGCAACCTAAAGAGAAATGAGTACTTACTTTTGGATGGGTTAAACATAAGAAAACGCTCAAACAGCTCATGCTGAATAGGAATCTGCTCAGTTGAGCTGTACGGCAGGATGTCTTCATGACTAACATAATCCAAACCTGAGTGACAGAGGTTTAGGAGACATGGAATTTGAAACTAACAGCCAAACATACAAACACAGAATAAACTGTCAACTTTGTACAAATACTACTCGTAGTCACATACCTGGGATAGCGTACAAGGCCCTGCTGTCGTCATGATTTGCCAGAAACGTGACTGCCTCTGTTTGAGACCTCTGAGACTGAAATAAAACAAAAAAAATTAAGCTGAATATAAACCAGATATCTATTCCCTTACAGACCGCAATGTTCTTAAAGGAATGCTCCAGCATTTTTAGACCTGATCTCTGTCTGCTGCATTTGTATTATATAAGTATATGTATTATATTTGTATAATATAGTCAATGACCATGGACAATAATTTTGCATTTCCTGTCCTCAAAACACAAAGTACTCACAACAGAAGCCTATGGACAGTTGTTTCAGTGGTTGATAGAGATTAGGGTGAAAAGGTTTGAAAATTAAGACTTCAGGATAAGCACACTCACTATGTGGGGGCAGTCCCGGGTGTCTATAAGGACCTGGTAGTAAGTGTGTGTTTTTCCTTTCACCTCTTTTGACCCGTGGCCTAGGGACTCTGGTTTGCTGGAATGGTATAAATAATGTTAGAGATTTGCAGGGGTGTAGAAAGCACAGAAAAACTTCTTTCAAAACATATGAATACTGTGTCAAAATCTTGCCTAATTAAAAGTGAAAGTATGGAGCCAAAAACATACTTTAGCAAAACTAAAAGGAATTTAATTTAAAGTACTCAAGTACATCACAATAAAAAATATATAAGTTGTTTGGTGGTGTGATGTGGTGGCATGCGGTGGGGTGACTGACTGCTAATCCTCACACAAAGACAAATTAGCATAGTTGTGGGAAGTTTTATTTTACACTGCTCTGGATGTTTTAATAAAACATTGAATGGATAGATGTGTTAATCAAAAACATTAAAATGCACAGGAACCCAACAGACTGCCAAGAAAACAAAGCTAAATCGTGCATCATGACACTGTGATATCGAAAAGAAAGCAGCGACAATGTGCACTGTAGAGAATGGACATTGCATCTAATGCAACTGCTTTGTGTGAACACCAAAGTTTGCAAACAGTCCTCACCAATCAACAACTCAGTCCAGCACTCCGCATGTCTTCCAGTCTAGTGTCAGTTTTAAGTTGTGCAACAATATGTTTATAGTCATCATTTTTCTTGGCTTGAATTGTGTTCAAAATGCTTTAAGAAAGTCGAATTGTGAACTCAGTATTGCAAATCAAATCATGGGCAGAATGTATCGTTACACTCATATTAAGCACAGTAACAAAGTACCATCACAGTATTTTTCACTCCTACAGTTTTGAGACTTTACCTAAAATGCTAAAGTGCCTAACAAGAACAGAATCTGGAAGGTCTGGATGGACTACCTGTCTGATATTGTAGGACACACATCTCGGTCGTAGAGACGAGCATGCCAGGGGAATAACACGATCCCTCTGTAGCCGAAGACACTGTGGAGAAAAAGCTGCAAAGAAAAAAATGTGTTTACATAGCCGAACAAGTACCCAGAGAAAGACTAAAATATAAAAATCATAACCAGCCCAACAGCACACTGACTATAAAGAGGGTCAGAAGAGAAAGGGGAGTGTGGCAAGTGATACGATCAACACTTTTGGCAAATAGCAATAAAACTCTGTGAAATACACACCTGGCCTGTTTCATACTTCCCATGCTGCTTTGGTGCTTCAAACACTCCAACAGTCTCCAGTACCTTTCCGTTAGGTCTGTTTCTGAAAATGTGGCCAAAATAAACAGAAAGACCAAAAGGCAGTCACCAATAACCAAACATACCCTGCAATATGCAGCAGCCATATCAACTCAGCCCTCAGATCACAGAGCAGTAATTTGTCAGTGCACTCAATGAACCACTTCCTCAAACAAGAATATTACACAAGCAATCTGGAAAACTGGACACAGGCCAGGCTGAATCGGAGATGCCCCAGATAGCCCTGCTCCCTGCTGAAAGACACTGCTGACCAGAAACAGGACTTGCTCACTGTGTCCATTTCCTTATTTCTTAAGCTATACCTCACAGTGCAGGGCAAAGAGCAGATCTAAGGGGTAGCCAGTATTTCAGGGACAATGACATAACAATATCTACTTTAAGACTGAGTTGTTTACATGTAGTCTATGCATTAATTTTCCAGTTTTTACTAAAAAGTTCTACAAAAATACACTTCTAAAGTAGTTAAGACAGCAGTCAAGTTATAAATAGGGCTTGCAGAGTGACTACTCAGGTTATGGGCAACCAGATATGACTACTAGCCACACAGTGCACTCTGGTTTATCCACACTTTCCTGTGCAGTAGGCTCTGTGGAGGAGGCAGGTTAACAAAGAAAAAATGGTAAAATACATGTATATAAGATTAGTGGTGAGGGGGTAAATGAGAAAGTCTTAATTTACGTTGCAAAAACAGCAGTGTTGCAAGCTGTTACAAGAGGAGGAGGACAAAGCAGGCAGGACACGTCTGAGCACACCTCTTACCGTGATGACATGAATCTTGTTTGCTGAAAACTGGACGAAGCGCAGTGTAAACATGATGGCCGGGTCCTAGTCCAGTCTAATCCACAGTTATATTCAAGGACACTCGCCACTCTGTGAGAGCGCCTCTTGTATTTACTGACGCTCAGAAATAAACCTCGACGTATCGCACACGCAGCCATCTTTCTTTGGTGCACACGCGAGTACACAAAACTCCCGTCAAGTAAGTCACATGTGGTGGAAAATGACCGCAAACATCCAACATATCAGCTGCCCTGCTATTTAGCAAGCAATGCGTTTTGTGTCAGAAGCAAAAATCAGCTGAATTAGTGAAAATTTGCACTCTTTCCAGTTACTTTGGCTGCCGTCATTTCCCACAATGCACCGCGCCACCAAAATACTACAACAAGTTCACTGTCAGTTGGCTCCCTACTCCCTATGCAGTGCACAATGTAGGTCGACTTCTGCACCCAAATAGCCATATTATATGTTTATACGTCATTTGTGATTCAGCCAGAGGTTGCAGCGCTCCCTTTTTCCCATCAAGTGTACTATTTGAGTGTAGAAACCTTAGTTTCATGACTTACGCAGTGCACGTATATAATATATAGGGAGTAGAGAGACATTTGAGATTCCGATTCAGAGAAATTAAACGAATGTTGCGCTCGCAATTCGCACAGAAGTAAACATTCATAAAAACAGTGCTTATTGTGTATCTGGTTCAGTAACGGTAGTTACAAGAGAAAGAAAGGAAACGACTTGTTCAGGTTGTTTCAGAATGGTATATTTACAAGTTTGCTTTTAGTTTGTGATTACTGAGCACGATTCCTGTGTATATGAGCTCCAAATCTGTCTCTTTTTGAGGTTTTCAGGAACTTTAGGTTAATAAGCCAATCAGGACATCTGCCACTATCTTCACAGTCTGAGGCTGGAGGCGGAGTAAAAGAAGACAAAAAAGTATTATCAGCGCATTCTCCTTGCTGGAAAACAGAAACTCTCCGCTTGTCAGGATGTTAAGTGAGAAATCAGATTTTCCACTGAGCGTCTTGAACGCGGCATAAATCGCGTCAGGCGCTTCAAGCGCGTCAGACGTCATCACTACTCGCCCAGTCAGCTGACGGAGCTCCTGTGTGTTTTGGTAACTGGCTTTAACGTTTATAACTCAGCAGATATGATGAAGGAGATATAACCGGCGGTTTCTGCATAGATACTGCACTGCACTGCACTGCACTGCAGTATTTATGTGGAACGACATATATACTCTAATTCAGTATATTTATATTATTGTGTTATACGCTATGTTCAGCAGAGCTGTCCAGTATTATAATACTTTGGGTTATGTTAATGAGTTAATGGGTTGAGTTAATGTTGTTTGTCCATCCACACGCAGGTTTACACAGATTCTGCTGAACACCATGGCCTCTTCATTTACACTTGGTCCAAAATTTCATGAGAAACTGAAGGACTTGTTGGAGGGAGAATCCTCTCCCTCACCGCAGCTGTTCGAACAGCTAGGAGCTCTCAAAGATCAATCAACAATGTCATTTAAGGCAGCAAGAAAACTACAGAAACTTCTTCAGGAAAATGGTAAGAACAGAAGAACTAGAATGTATTTGAACACATCACTTACCTGTTCGTTTAACTATACTGTTGATGTAGTTTTTGTCTAGCTGTGTATGTAACTTATTTTATAATGTGTTACTACATCATAGCTATAGAGTTACATTTAGGTTGTTCCACATGCTAATTATAATGTAAAAGCACAAGATTTATCAACGCTGTCTGAAAAAAACAAGTATCTCTAAAATGGCAGCTTCATTTATATATATGTATGTGTGTGTATGTATGTATGTATGTATGTATGTATGTATATATGTGTGTGTGTGTGTGTGTGTGTGTGTGTGTGTGTGTGTATAGTGAAATGATAATAAGATAAAACGTGTGATGCAGATCTTATTTATCCACAGGGTATCCAGTCTATCTTCATGAGCTACTGGAAGACAGCACACTTTACCTGCCAAAGGTCGAACTGCCTCCAAGAGTGAGTGAAAATAGGGTACACTGAATTTGTACAAAATTGGTGTGACTACATTGTGGTTTTAGTAATAAAATCTGACTTTTAACATTGTGGATTTTATCTCCACCTCTGATCACTTTGAGCAGAACCCTGAGTTGGTAGCTCGTCTAGAGAAGATTAAAGCAAAACTGGCCAATGAAGAATATATGAGAATCACGCGGAATGTAAATCCTCAGGTAAGAGCTGCTTTTCTGTATTCTAATCAAGGAAACATTAACGTGGTACGTTATTGTATGCCTTGCAGTGTCATTCTGATCTACTACATATGGTGTGTGCCTACATAATTTACAACCATGTATTTTTCTGTTAACAGGAAATGAACAATCATGGAACCCTAGCAGACTTTGGAAGACAAGGTCAGCAAATCCTATTGTTTTTTACTCTTCTGTTGTCATGAGCTCCTTTTCTGAATTCTCATCATTATTCATATTTATGTCTTACAGTGCGTTCTGTCAAAGCAGTTGTTGTTACTGTGTTCAACTTCCTTGTAACGGTGGTTGCTGCCTTCGCTTGTGCCTATATGGGAAGCCAGTATGTCTTCACAGAGACAGCAGCGGTACGGTATATGTGTGTGTGTCTATGTAATATCAGTAAATAGTCCGTGTACATTAATAATGTTTTAAATGTCTTAAAATGTCATTTTTACAGAAAACGTTTTCTTCATATGGTGTTTCTTGTTTGTTTTTAAGTTCCTTTTAGAATTTTTCTAATTGTAAAAGAAGGTTTTTGCAAAATCAATCAATTTATTAATTTTCTAAACCTATAATACCTATCTGTTGTTGTTGTTCTATGTTGTGATAATAACAAAGGTTTACCTTTTTCCTTTTCAGAGAATTATTTCCGCAGTGATTGCGGCCTCTGTAGTCGGACTAGCAGAGCTTTATGTCCTAGTTCGGACTATGGAAGGTGACTTGGGAGAGCCTTAACAGCTGGCAAGAATTAAAGGACTTATGCACTGGCCAGTGGATCCTATTCCAGCAACATCATCAGGGACCATTTCCTTAAAAGTAATCCCGTCACGTCTGGTCATTTTAATTTATGGACTGTTTTCAATCACAGTCTTGGACGTCATTGGGATGTGTGTCTTTTTCAAAATAAAAATCATTTTCCCACTACAAGGATGGATTAAAGATGGATTATAAATCCAGGTAGTGTAAATAAGATGATTTTTGTGCTTTGGTCATTGTTATAATGTATGCTTGATTTATGTGTTTATATGTTGGCATAAAGTAATACAATTACTGGTACACAGTTACTGGTTAATGGTCCTAGATAATGAAGTGTGACTGTGTTGCCTGATCTGATGTGCATCTAAATGTCTGTTAAATGTAAATTATCATATTTTAGCATCTGGACTGAATTAAATACTGAACTCTGATCATTTCATTGTTTATTTCAGGTAGAGAAACCAACCCGTTTGTGGTTCTGAAATCCAAAATGTCGGATTAGTTTTGTTTATTTGTCAGTGTGTCCCTTACAGATGTGTTTGAATTATTTTTGTTTCAGTTTGATGACAAAAGCATGACATTAAAGCAAATTGTGCTCATTGTTTAATATGATACATGTAACCCCAGAAAGAGTAATGTACTTTTTCACCATGAAACAAGAAAATGCACAACAATAAACAAAGCTTCACTTCTCACTTACCATGCAGAGTCCACTGCTGTGGATCCAGCTTTATTCTCATCAGATTTACAGAAGTATTACTAACGTGCGCCGTTAGATGAGAAGACAATTTGCTGTGCATGGTGTTAAGAGGTAAGCTTTAGGCAGGCTGGGGTGATGCACTACAGATGTAATGGAAAAACAAAATCTGACAAACCTATGCTTGTACTTGAAACCACACTCATAACAATGACAAAGATAAATAGAAAAAACCTGGCAAATAAAAAAAAAATGTGACGTGTCTCAAGTCTAAGAATATACTGTACCATTTTATCTGTACATAACAATGTATATGACTATAAAGATTAAACAATGTTTCTGTTTTTGCAGTCTACTAGCTGGCATCTCATTTCAGGTGAAATTTCCTTCAATATCTGTGTCCTCTGTGATGATTTGTCAGAGTGTACAGCATCCATCTGTATCCCAAACTCAAACAGCACAAACAGTTACATGGACATGAAATAAATAGTGGCCTTTCTTGACAAAAATACAACCATATTTTTTAATAGGAGAAAATAACACTAGTGTTCTTCCTTATTTGGCACCTTTTCACCTCATGATATCCTGAACTAGACTTGTATCCAGTCCAGCAGGGGGCAGTGTTGCACTTTTCAGCCGTTGCTGAATTTAAAAAGTCTCAAGCATTCTGTGATGGCGCAATGGCTCACTCAAACTTGCGCAGGTGGTTGTACAGAGATTGGACGTAGGTAAAGACACACATGGGGTCTGGTTTTCTGCCCATCACCATCATGTCCTCCACCTCGATGAGTCTGTCACAGCCAGCCATCTTCCTGGAAAAGTTGGATAGGAAGAGAGAAGTTAAGCTAAGCTTAATGATGAGTGTACACATTTGACATGGTTTATGGTTCTTTTCTACACAGAATATGCATATAAATAAACAGAATACACTAAGCTTTGATTATTTTATTAACTACAGCCCATACTTCCACACACGTTGTTCACTCCAACATCATATGATTGTACTTTGTGGTTTAAATGTCAGCATTTCTAGCTTTTAGCATTCCAACAAGTGAACTCAGTGACCCTGAATGTGACATCACATTAGACATGCTGCTTCTAGCTTTTCTTAAAAAGCTGTTTAGGCCCAGTTCCAGAACAAAATTACAGAGCAGAAAGAAACTGGGGGGCCTTCTCAGGGCCTTCTAAGCCTCCAGAGAAGGCCTCATGATTTCTGAAAACTGAAAGATACATGTCTGCAATTTTTTGTTCATTTTTATTCAGTATATTCATGCTTGTACTTAAATCCTGCAAGTATTACAGTACTACTCGTGTTTCATTGGCAAGTTCAGCAGGTAAACAAAAGGCTTAAATTCTTCAGAGGCCCAGCAGAAAACTGGTCAATCAGGAATTGTTTTTCTCCACAGTATCTAGGTAGATACGGCTCAGCGAGCTCTCCTGTTGGTTGGGACTTAAAGAACTGAGGAGAAGGCCTAACGCATAATTACAAAGTGACAGAGGAATCAGTCACACCAATTTTGTGTGGAAGAAACATCACTCTTGGCCTTCTAGAAGTTCTAGATATGTCACTGTTTGTGAATATGAGCAGCAGCCTAATCAGTGGGTTGTTAGAAATGGAAAACAGCAGCAGCCGCTCTATACCAGGCCTCTCTACTGAAAGAATCAGTGTAACTGCTACAAGGTAAAATATACTAATATGTCTGTCACAAGCTTCAAATTAAGAAAATTAAATGTCTTATAGAAGATTCAAATAAGCAAAATATATTGGGTTCTGGCCACTCCTGCGCTGAGCATCTTTGGGATGAGGTAGAAAGGGGCGTTTGTAGCAAGACTGCAGTTATTCTGCTTCTAAGTGGTACAGCATTCCTCCACAACATATCCAGCATCTTGTGGAATCCATGCCCAGGCAAAATAATACCATTCTGAAGGCAAAAGGAGGTAAAACATGCAACTGCTACATATGTACCTAATAAACTGGTAATTCAGTGTATACACAGTGCTGTATGTGTATCTGTGTAGAGGAAATTGTAGGGTTTATTGATGTCCTGGCTGTAGTAGTGGAAAAACGCATGTTGTGGGGAAGGGGAGTCCAGGGCACAGGCCTAGGGTCAGTTGGCTTGCCTTGGTGATTTAAAGTGTGGGTTAAGTTACAGACACCAAGTTCTCATACGCATCGGAAAGTCGGTAACAGTATCTCCAATGCCACACTGAGAGATGATGTGGTCTGTCTGAACCAGAGGAGCAGCTTGAGGATTGTGCTCAGGTCAACTTTCTCATCACTCAGTCTTCACTTCATTTAGCCTTTTAACACCATGAATATCAAGTAGATGATGTGTTTGCTATTTTTTTCTGAGCCCGTTCCATAGTTCATATGGTTCATTAAGAGTTTATCTGGGGCTGTACATTTTATCCCTGGCAAATTTGAACATGGAGGCGCTACGTAATGCTTTCCAGATGATGGTGGAAGCAGAGAAATATGCAAGGAAATATGCTGATATGGTAAAAGCTGAAGAGTGTAGTAGATGTTGCAACCACTTACTCTGCGGTGCTGAAGGCCAGTTCGAAGTTGTGCTTGCGGTCAGCAGGGGACAGGGCGTTGTAGTCGAACTCGGTGGGGAAGAATGAGTGCACCAAGGCACAGAAGGCCATTCCATCACTCCAACTGGAGGAAAAATTCTGGATGTCGATGTTCTGTAGGAGAATGAATGTTGGCATTAAAGGGACACTGGCTAAAATTATAAATGTATCCATTAGTACATCTATGGTAATCATGCCTTTATTTGCTTTCTACAGCAATTCTACTGTAGTCTCTAAAGCAAGATATTCTGTTTTACAGACTAGGAAAACCTCTTTCTGATTATATATTTTAAAAGTGGGGGGAGCTTTTTAAAAACTACAAAGGCTTTGAGGCAGATGGTGGGCTATTTGATTTTTTTTCTGCTAGCTGGCGAATGTAGAAGGAAGCCAAATAGCCAATGTTACTGCTAGGAAGCCAAACATCACATCTAGCCCAGCTAGCCCAGGGGTCAGCAGCGGCTCCACAGCAGAATTAGATTCTAGGTAAAAATAAAATAATCCTCCTTTGCAGTAAAATAAAGCTCTGCTGATTGTTCTAACACAGTTTTAACAATAAATGGTCTTAAACACTGGAGTTAATGTAGCCTATAACTGCTAATTCAAAGACCTTTAACCCTAAACGTTGGCACGCAGACTGCTGGTCATCATAGCAATGCAGACAACCATCTCGCCTAGCTAGTAGCTAACAAAACGGCAAAGAGAAAGATTTAAGATGAACATCGAGAATTTGGAGACGAATTGACTTATTTGCATTTATAAGCACTCAGCTGGTTTCCTGATACGTTTAATCTGCAATGAGAAACTGTCAAATAGTAAAAAGTAGCGAAACGGAAGTCAGCTTCTCATTCACCAGCTTCTTGTTCAAGTTCTACCTTAAATGGTGCAGCAGTTACATCCCGGCGCCACAGGCACCATTTAAGGCGGAACAGGAAAATTCAAACAAGAAGCTGGTGAATGAGAAGCCGACTTAAGCCTCGTAACAAGTCGAACGTTGAGAGACATTTTACAAGAAACTGTTCTACTTTTGCGGAAAAGTTTCTGGCTGGAGTTCCAAGAAAAGCGGCTATAGCTGAGCAAAAGCTTAAAGCAGAGCAAAGTAAGGCTGCATTTTCATTCATATTTTTAGCCTGTACTAGTACATTAGCACATACTGAGGCATACCTGAGGCCAAGATGGTAAAATGGACATAAAATGTTGTGGCGCTCAAGATGGTTCGATTTTTGTTGAAAGGATAAAATGGACTTTCTTAACATCAGGTTGCTGACCCCTGAGCTAGCCCATAAACCAGCCCTGAGCTGGATTGTAGATTTAATGATCTCCCAGCTCTATAACAGCTTAGACTCTTCAGCTAGTGAACAAACTCTTCATGATGTTTAAATCGATGTGTTGGAACAGGGAAGACACAAAAAAATTGTATTAACTCTATATATGACAGTTCATAGAGTTTGAATGATTTGTTGTAGGAGATTCTTGTGTGCAGAGTTGTTATGTTGGCTACCTGTAACCTAAAGTACATTTGAAAGCTTTCTGAGGTTTACTTTACGATAGAGTGATATTATATTATCTGCCAAGCATGAATTTTGGCTGTCTTAGGAGTTGATAGCATCACCAAAAAAATGAAAAGGTGGTTTTGTAGCATTTAGTCATCCTCTTGAACTCTATTATAAAGCTTAAAGCAGACTGGAAATGTTGAAATAGTCTGTGTCCACCCCTCCTGCCTCTCAGACTCTGTAATTTAAGACCACTTATGTCCTCATCCTCAGCTGGCAAATAAAACCCCATCTGTCAGTGTGAAAATCAACATCATCATAGTCGTTATGAATCTGCCGGTCTGGTGCTCTGTATTCTTACATTGTTCTATTGCTCCTCTAAATTTGCCTTGACCATGACTGCAATGTCTCTAATCAAAGCCACATGGAATGACTGGCACAGCTGTGATAGAGAGGTTGTGCGTAGTTCAAGTCATACACTGCCCATCCAACATTCAGCAACACTTTATTTCTCTCATACACAAAAATACAATTAATCAACATATTAAAACTTGACAGTACCATAAATGTATCGCAAGGCCTGTAAATTGTAATTCATTCTTAAGAGCACGTTGAGCCTCATGTTGCTACCTGGCAATGAAAGGTTCTCTAAACTCCTAGCTGCAGA